ATGATGATGTTTAGCCGCAGTGAGAGTGTGTGAGCTCTGTTGAAGTCATCTTTATTTCTCTAGCGCTCTACACAGTGCAGATTACCCCACAAGTCTAAACACATGCGGTACAGGTGAATTGGGCAAGCTAAAATTGACTGTGGGGAATGAGTGTGCATGGATGTTTCCCCAGTGATGGGTTGCAGCTGGAAGGGCATCCGCTGTGTAAAACATGTGCTGGATGAGTTGGCGGTTCATTCCGCTGTAGCGACCCCAGATTAATGAAGGGACCAAGCCAAAAATAAAATGAATGAATGAATAGCGGTCAAAAGTTTGGGGTCCGTTTTATTTATTTTTTATGATTCTGTTTATCAAGGCGGCATTTATTGAATGTAAAATAAAGAGTTAAATATTTATTAAACATTTTAAATAACTTCTTTCTTATTGAATGTAGTTTCAAACTAATTTTTTACTCCAGTCATTAGAGCTTTTATTAGTATTACCAATAATAAAAATAATAACAAGAATAATAAGAATAATAATTAAGTGATTTGAGGGATTTCTGGAGGTTCATGTGACTCTGAAGACTGGAGTAATGAAGCTGAAAATTCATTTCACAATTTTACAATATGTACTGCATTTTTGATTAAATAAATAAATAAATAATAATTTTATATTTAATAATTTATATTATAATTATATATATATATGAAGAGTTCAGATGCAAAAATCTCTTAAAGCCGTTTGAAGTGTCCTTTAAAAATGAGCATTTAATCTGGCTGCTATGTGTAGATTCAGTAATTTCAAGTTTATGGTAAAGAATACACTCTTTTATAGGTCTTTAAAATGAAAAAGCTCACGGTGCATTAACTAATGTTAACAAGCATGGACTTGGATGTTAATAATGCATTAGTAAATGTTCAATTATGATTAATAAATGCTGTACAAGTGTTTTTCATGATTAGTTCATGTTAGTAAATGCATTAACTAACGAACCTTATTGTCAAGTGTTACCATATATAATATATTATACATTTATTTTTTTTATTTATATATATTTTTTATCTATTATGCAATGCGTATGCACATTTGGTACATAACACAAGTACATAACACAAAAACACAAGTTTGTATTATTTTATAGGGGTTAAGAGCTCATAGCTTATATATATATATATATATATATATATATATATATATATATATATATATATATATATATATACCTATCACTACCTAGAAATAAATATATGTATTTTTGTGTTTA